GGATAATATGGTCTACAGGACTGTGAGTAATTTTGAAGTATCATGTGATTCTGTTAAAAGGAGGATGGAGGATGGAGACGACGCACAGAGGGTGGGGATTCAGAGTGGCGTCGTCCTGCACCAGACAGGTGTGTGTCACCAACACTTAGTTCCTGCTTTTCTTCTTGTAATGCCGACTCAGCTAGGAATGGCTTCTCTAACAACAACTGTGTGCTCCTTAGGACTTGGAGACAGGACGATGACAAGGAGGAGAAAGAGTTACCTTTCAGACGAGATGGTCCTCGTAGAAGCGGAGAGGACAGAGGTCCCCGTAGGGTCTTTGACGATGAACGAGGCCCACGCCGTGGTGACGATGAAGACCGCCCTGTTCGCAGAGGGTTGGATGATGACCGTGCTCCACGCAGAGGTTTCGACGATGATCGTGGTCCAAGGCGTGGTGGAGATGACGACCGTGGTCCTAGACGTGGCTTTGATGATGACAGAGGTCCTCGTAGAGGCATGGATGACTCCAGGGGACCCAGGCGTGGAGCTGATGACGACTGGGGCCCCAGAAGAGGAGATGATGACAGAGTTGGAAGAAGAGGTATGGATGATGGGCCACATCTTGATGGTGATGACGCCAAACCCTGGAAACCACTGGGCCGACCTGGTAAGTCTGTAGCCAATTGGCTATCAGTAAATAATAGAAAAGTCTTGTTATCCAACAGCCAGGCAGCTGGTCTGTGCCTAAATGTCAAGTCTTAATAAAATGATGATAATGAACACCTCTGATATAGGGGGGTGGCGTGAGCGAGAGAAGGCCAGAGAGGAAAGCTGGGGACCTCCCCGGGGTGGCCCCCATGATGATGGAGATGATGGCGAAGGAGACGAAAGATCCAGCGACCGCAACAGAGACCGTCGTCCAAACAGGTGGGGCTAATAGATCTATGCCTGTATGCTGAGTTATTCGTAGCACCGTGGAGGATGTGACAATTTGCTTTTCAGATAGTTGTTGGCAGAGTTTCTAATTGGTGTCACTGTGCGTTCACAGAGAGGATGGTATCTGGAGAAGAGGGGGTACTGATGAGGGAAGCAGCTGGAGAGAATCTCGCAGAGAGGAGGCAGACCGCGACGATCGACGCGATCGAGACGATCGACGTGACCGTGATGATCGCCGCAATAGAGACCCTCGTGATAGAGAACGCCGTGATGATCGTGACAACAGAGGCCCACCCAGAGATCCTGATGATGGTGAGCAGAGCATGTTTTAGACTTGCTTTCAGTGTCTTTGCTGGGTTTGATCTCATTAAGTGTGATCTAAGTAATTTATTTTATGCACAAATGGTAACTTTGTTTCAGAAAATTGCTATATGAAATGTAAATAAACAATAAAAAGAAAAACTGCATAGATTTGCCAATAATTTAAGCTCTGCTTTTATTAATAATAATCCAATATCAAGCTTGAATGGAGAACATTTTGATTCCAAAACTAGTATGGTTTGCTCCCAAACACTTTTGTTGTTAAGAGATGTTAAAAGAAAACTGATGTGCACAACATCACCATGGTTTTTATCTTCCTGAAATCAAATAAAAAGTAATCACAGTTGTGAGAGGTTTAAAACGCTGTAGACGCTGGTGTCCCTGATCCAACTCTCCATCCTCAATCCACTGAGCTCATCTTCTGTCAAAAATTTCAACGTGAAGATAACTTATTCAGCCAGCAGAGGGCACTGCAAACCCATTGATACATGCTCTGCTACATAAGCTTTTTTTTTTTTTTTTTAAAGAAATCATCCACTTTGGACACACGAAACTTCCAAAGTTAAAACATAAAAACTTCCGTTGCTGGAATATTTTCTACGAAACATCTTTGTTCCCCACAGGTGGTTCTTGGCGTCGTGGAGGTGAGGATAAACGTGAGGAGCGCGACAGGGACCGAAACAGAGAACCGGGACGGGACCGTGATCGTGACACTGATGGAGAGAAGGGCTGGCGTACTGACAAAGAAAACCTTCGCCGCACCAAAAACGAGACAGATGATGATGGCTGGACCACCGTTCGCCGCTGAACCTCAGCTCATGGCTCAATCAATAAAAAATGATTTAAAATAATAATAATTATAATAATCAGAAATACCACATCACTCTGTTGGCCACAGTGTTTCATTGGTGGCCAAAAAATACCTTTGATTTGAGTATTTGTAGAATGTAGTTTCCTGGGAAGTGATTGTTTTTTATTTTGACCTGCAGTTTTGAACTGGAAACTCCTCACCTTCTAAACACCATTAACCAATGAACTTGTGTTCACTTAGGTTTCAGTGAAGCATTACTGTAACCCCCAGTGGTTGGAAATGTTCTTACCTTAGTGAAGTTAATCCGACCTACATGCAAACCAGTGAACCTGCTACAATATTCAATGCAAACTCAGTGTACCACCAACTGCCTCTTTTATGACTGTACCTTGCATAGATGTTATGGCACAGATCTACAACTCTTCTAATGGCTGATGGTGACTAGGAATCGTGTCACCTGCTTCAGTTATTTCAGCTCTTCCATCTAATATGAGATGCTTTATAACCTGTTAAAGAACTAGTGGAATTTACATTTTGTGCATGCATAGAGTATTGACATGGTCTGGCTTCATATCCAGTGCGTGCTTCTATCTTGCTGCAATCAATGGTATCACACCAGGTTGCATGTGTACAGATAAAGCCTTTATTAATAAAGACAATGCTCACCAGGGATATGTTCTCTTTGTCTTCAATGGGATATAAAAAATGTTAGAGCATGCTGTCCTCAGCTTTGCCTAGTTTAGATCAATACAGCCACAGATAACCTTATGAACATACATTTTAGAAATAAAGCCTGCTTGCAAATGCGTTTTAATACTTAATTTAAATGAGTAAAGCAACTATGTTGATACTTGCACATGATGAAGCTTGTCGTTTAGATTTTGGTTTCTGGTTTCTAAATTAATCCCACATCACTGCAGTATCACTGCTAATGTATAAACAACAACACATGGGGATGCTGCATCGTAATCCAGAACTTCTTGGCTACCTTGAGGCGGAAACTGAAACGTATGCCCAAATATTTAGGAGCGGTCAGACTGCTGGCCTGGCAAACAAGATAACAATAATTCAAAACTGCTTGTGGAGGCTACAACCGTACGACGCTGGCGATCTGAACTTTGTAAAGCCTTTCTTTCTGTAACCACTAGAGGTCGGTAAAACACCAGAAAGAAGACGCGTTACATCCGAAAACTGGAAACGTGTTGGTTCATGCCTAAGATCATCAGTTAACTGAGGGTATAAAACTCAGGAAAAATATAAACAAGCAGAAGGTGGTCAGAAAGGAGGCAATTACAAAACCAGCAACATGCTGCTGGAGCTGTAAAGTAAGAAAACACCCTCAGCAGGGCGGGAGTTTGTTGTCCCAACAACAAAACTGCGTTGGCATTTTGAATTTGGCTCCCCGATTTGAGCTACTATATAATAATAATGATGATGATGATGATAATAAAAGTAATAGTAATAATAATAATAATAACAGTAATAATAATAGGCTGATATTTATTAATGCAAACCAAAAGCCTCTATCTGAACTATATAAGCGAATTGAATAAAAAACTATCCACCTCTGGGAGATTCCTCCAGGTATTGAAAATAATAAACTGGCATGTGTTTTTTAACATGTTAAACAAGATGGTGTGTGTGGTGTATGTGTGTGGGCATGTTGGTGCTCTGATAGCGCTGAGAATCCCATTCAGTGCTCCAGTATATTTTTATAGGCCACATTTAATTTCAGGGACCCTTAACCGCATAAATGAGCAAAGCCTAAACTCCATGTGAGTAATAATAATAATAATAATTATTATTATTATTATAATTTAATAATAATAATAAGTGGAGTTATTCTGATTATATGTATTTGGTTGGAAACTTTCCTTGAAACATGTATCAGCTTTACAAGCAGCGGCCAAAAAATAAAAAATTAAAATTAACAAAAACAAAAAAAGGCATAAAATGATGAAATAATCTCCAAACATTTGGATGTAGGCTGTCGGTAGGCAATACATCATTTTCTCATTTCGGGGATGCATCAGTTCACTTGTCAGCAGCCTGCGCGGACTCCAAGTGTGTATTATTTCTTTGTGAAGGCCCGCTGTGCGCGGACATGGCTGCAGCTTCGTGCTGCTGCCGTCAGCCGCTGATCTGCATGCTGGGGTGACAGGTCGCACTCGCACAGGTACACTACTCTAATAAACAGCTCTCACCGTCTAACACACAGCGTTACTGAACACTGACTGTTTCAGGATCGTGTCCCGCACACTAGATAAAAACAAAGCAGAAACACCTCTAAATCTGAGCTTAAGCGCGTCTGCGTCTTCGACAAACCATTCTGCACAAATGTAAGCGTGTCAGTGTAGAACTCATACTAATGCTGATCCTAGAATCGGGACAAATGGAAACAAGCAGCAACGAAAAAAAAAAGAATTTTCTACAAATGTCCAGTCACAAATAAATAAATAAACAAAAAGAAAACAGGAAAATATGGAAAAATAAATTAAATCCGACTAATGGCGCAAATAAGCGGCTGCTGAAAAATTCCATTTATTCCATACCATTAGCATCCCAAAAACAGAGTCAAACAGAGCTGATGTGTTGCCGCCACATTGTTTTTGCATATTTTAAAGTAATCACCTCTAGTAGTAACAGCACACACACACTTTAAAAATCTGCCTGAACCTGTCGTAGACACTAAATGCAAATAAGCAGGCTACCTTTTCTACTGGTTAGTTGAATGTGTTAAATGTCCTGGAGATATGTGCGCACGAGTGGATGCATGTGTCTGTGTGTCTACATGTGCGCGTGCGGGCATGTGTGCGTGCACGCGGGGGGCTCTTCTCTGAACGAATCCGTTCCGTGTTGCGCGTTCGAGTCCGCCTCTCCGCGCCCCTGCTTCCCATTGACGCACTTTTTAAGCGTCTTCCCCCTTCTCCACCTTAAGGCGAGCAGCAGCGGCAGCGACCAATCACCATGCCATTACAGCCTTCAGAGGAAGCTGTTTATGGGGCTGCAGCGCTAATTAGGCTCATGAACTAACAAATCTGCCTGCACGAAGCCGGCGAGGAAAACGATCACATCCATGGATTAGTCTGGGAGTAGCCGAGCACTTTTTATTTTTTGGCTTCTTCGACACTGCCCGCCGCCCTTTCCCAACTTGTTTACTGCGCAGAAACTTTCCCCTTTTTTTCCTTGGGTGTGGAGTATTTTTCAAGCAAGAGCGCCTACGACAACTTTAACCTAAACTGGGGAATCTGGACTATCAGACCATGTTTCAACCTACACCCAAGAGGTGTTTTACTATAGAGTCTTTAGTGGCGAAGGATAATCCGATACCGGCGTCCCGCTCCGAGGAGCCCATCAGGCCAGCGGCTCTCAGCTATGCAAACTCCGGCCAGATGAACCCATTTCTGAACGGCTTTCACTCCGGCGGCAGGGGCGTCTACTCTAACCCGGACTTGGTTTTTGCCGAGGCGGTCTCTCATCCGCCAAACTCTACCGTTCCAGTACATCCGGTGGCCCCGCCGCACGCTCTGGCCGCTCACCCGCTTTCATCCTCACACAGTCCGCACCCGCTTTTTGCCAGCCAGCAAAGAGACCCCTCAACTTTCTACCCCTGGTTATTACACAGATATAGGTACTTGGGTCACAGGTTTCAAGGTAAGTTGTCAAAGTATTCGACTTTGGATGAGTTTTACGCACGAACAACTACGGGCTGTAGCATTTTCTTTTCTGTTATTATTTCATTTTTGTTTTTTTTGTTTTTTTTGGCTTTTTTTAGGTTGGGGGCAGGTTGTTTTAAAAAAATATAAATATATATTTGTAGCTGTAGCAGAACAGTTTTAAAGTGAAGCGTCGTTAAGTGCCAAAAGTAGTTTCTAAAGGTGTCTCAGCTGTAAAAAGAAATGACCTCGTAACGAATTTCTTCGATTTTGGACAAAGAAAAATAATCTGTAACAAAGAAATATTTATGGCTGGGCTTGTGAGGACGCCTGCAGCTTTGGAGTATGTGTTAACGGGTTGTTGTTTTTTTACGAATTGAAATTCTGACATGTTTGTACACCGGTAGTCTGCAGGTTATATATAGCGCATGATCTATATCCAGAAACGCAATGAAAGCATTTCGCTAGTCTGCGGTTTAAACCTGTTACAGCAGGTTTTTTGTTTTTTAGTTTTTTTAGTTTTGTTTTTTTAAAGAAATAAATACATTTTTATTTGAGCTAAACGTGTAATTATATGATTATGCTGTTTCTAAATTTCTGAACCTGACATCAGACAAAATATGAGTAAATTGTAAATTTATTGTTTAAGTTGGTTTGGCCTGAGAACTTTTCTATTGTTGATTTCGGGTGCTGAATTTGTGGTATTTTTATGTGATCGTTATTATTAATAATATTATTACTGAATATTATTTTTATTTGTTTGATTTGGTTTGTTTTTCCTGCAAGTGACAGCGCTATTTTTTATTTTTTATTTTACTGGAATGTATTTTCAGTTTAATTTCTAAGATGGTTTTGTGTGTTGTCGATTTACAGTTTGTTCACAAAAAGCTAATTTAATTAAGTCCAGGATTATACGTCTGCTTTATTTGTTTCCCTCTTCTCTTCACACGGAAGGACTGACAGATATTAAAAGAAGAAACCTTCAGTAATGATTAATTTAAACACACACACACACACACACACACACTTTCATAAATACGGCGTGTGGCTTTTTATTGACTAATGTCCAGCTTCTTTTTGGACTTTATTATCGTCCTCTTTTATAGTCCCTCAGGAGACTGCAGTCCTCTAGCTGCGCCCAGGCCTGTTGTTTCTTATGGAATAGTTAACATCTTATAAAATATACATATATATTTGAATACGTCACTGAGGATCCTCACTTTCTGCTCGCTTCCAGGTAATGAAACGAGTCCAGAGAGCTTCCTTTTGCACAACGCGCTGGCCAGAAAGCCCAAAAGAATCCGGACAGCGTTTTCACCTTCGCAACTCCTGCGGCTCGAACACGCGTTCGAGAAAAACCATTATGTGGTGGGAGCAGAAAGAAAGCAGCTCGCCCACAGCCTTAGCCTCACAGAAACTCAGGTAAGAAGCACTGGATTTTACTCGACATTCCGCCCTCTCTCTCTCCACTCACCTGCTCTCACGTTGTGTGTGTGTTTTTTGTTTCAGTGCTGCTTCTCAGCGCGTCGTGTCGTGTTTTTGGCTTTTAGGAAATCCCCACTTTCATTTTACAGTAATTCAAGAGATTATTATTGATTATTATAGAAGCTGACTGTGTCGTGGTGCTTGTCCTGGAGGACGGTGTGTTACCTTTTATGTGTTTGGTTTTTTTAACGTGGTACCGTGCGTCATGGAGCCTTCAATCAGGCCTGTAAAACGTGTGCGTATTTACGCGCGGCACTAAAGCGGGGTGTTATCATTTGCTTATCATTTGCCAAACAATAACGCGAAATTATCAGGTGGCACACCGTTTCCACGTTGTCATTTGAAGACAGAGGCTTTCTGCTGGAGCCAGTCCATCGTCATTGTGTAGGCCTAACCTCATTCCAGGAGGGGGTTGAATTACTTTGTTTTGGGGTGGGGGGTGGGGGGGGAGAATGTTGCCTTTTCAAAATGGAGGGCAAATTAACCAGTTAACCATTTTATAGGGTAGGAGATACAAAGAGCGAGGCGGGTTCAGTGAATTCCCCCTGCCATATTTAAGATGCTGTTTGAGCCCATCAGCCTGCTGTCTTTTGTCCGCTGTGTCTCCTTTATACGGCGGGGCCTTTTGGAGGAGCTGAAGGGAGAAATGAACCGTCACCTACTTCAATTAGCCCACTGAAGGCTTATTAAACGCACCTCGGTTGCCATTAAAGAGCTGAAAGGGCTGCACAGCGACAAAACAGGAACAGATAATTTATCGATTTAGATGTTGTTAATTCCCCCCACGGTACCGATTATTAACAAATCCACTTAGAGGAGCGTGTGGACATATATGTTAAACGTGCCTCAGAGACATTTATTTCTCTTGACATCCACATGCTGACATTTTTGTTTTAAAATAAAATCTAAAAAAATTAAATACATTTCTGACCTACTTTGGGTATGGCGTCAAAGTTTCTGCGCGCATTAAAACAGTAGTGAACCTTATTTATTAAAATATTCTATTTGTGTCACAGCTCCTTGTCTCATTTTCCTTTTTCCCTCCCGATAATTTTAAGGCGTGATGTGGAAAAGACTCTGTCCTGTTATATTGTTAATAGAATTGGGGTTTGACCTTTTTAAGGCGGAAGTCGCTCTTTTTTATGTGAGTTAATAAGAATAATTGGAGTAATTAACAATGACATGATTTTTAATGGCATGTATTCGTGCTGTACTGGAACTATAATTGATGTTTGTTTATCCCGGCGGCTGTTTCCTTAGGTGCAGGTCACATTTTGCCTTTTTAAAAAATTATTGTTATTTCTGCTGAACTCTCTGCTTGTTTTTAGCCATGCTATCCTATTCACGCTTGGTTTTACGCACTGGCCAATCGCGGTTTATCTCGTGAAACTGATACGGGTTTTTCTGGTCCCCCCCCCTTCTCTATGCAGGTAAAAGTGTGGTTTCAGAACCGACGGACGAAGTTCAAGAGACAGAAGTTGGAAGAGGAGGGCTCGGAGTCTCAGCAGAAGAAGAAAGGATCGCATCACATAAACCGATGGAGACTGGCGACTAAACAGGCGAGCCCGGAGGAAATTGATGTCACTTCGGACGATTAAAATAAAGACTATGCGCCTGAATGAAGGAGGACATGGATACAGGATGCCGTGTAGAGACAAGTGAGAGGGTACAAAGCCAATGTCACATTTCAGATCTCCGGAGACCGGCAGCTGAGGGTGAGACAAGCCCGACTGACACTGCTGTCGCCACGCGGGTCTGTCAGTCCGAGTGACCCAGGGAAATGTGACCGACAGTGTGTCAGTCCACCTACCTGAACCCTTTCTCGCACCAACCACCACTACTACCCCCCTTCCCCCACCCTCCCCCACCTACAACCAACACCTAATTATATTTTTCTCCAACTCACATTGGACGTTTGCACTTCAGAAGGCTTTTATTATTATTTTTTCCTCCTCTTATTTTTTTAAACAAAAAAAAATCGTTTCCACGTAAGATATACCAAAACACCAAACTGCTTTTTTTTTTTTTTTTTTTTTTGTAAAACTTGAAATGCATGGTCTAGTTTTTTTTTCTTCTTTTTTCCTGGTAGCTGTTTTTAATTTGACGAGTTTTCGCAAACCAAGGAAAAACAGAAACAATAACAACAAAAAAGAGGAATAATCAGTTTTGTTTCCAACTCTATTTTCAAACAGAGAGATGTCGTGCTTCTTCCTTTTTACAATGTGTGCAGTCTTTAATTAATGATTCTCGTGTAAAAGTGATTGTGAAAACATATGAAGTAGCGGTGCTGCGTTATGGTGTTTATTTTTAATTTTTTTTAAGGAAAGAAAAGTGGAATTTCGATGAAAAAATGACATCTTTCTATAAAAAAAATAAAAAATAAGTGAATCAGACCACAGACAAAGTACTTAAAGGGAAGGTATCAGGACATTCCTTTAACCTAAAGCTTTACCAATGTGTCGCTGTGGCCCCCACACAGGCTTCTGTCAGGACTTGACCCTCCAGTGAAAGTTGCAACGAAGGACTAAAAAGCAAGAATTGACAAAGACAGGAGAGAGAGCAAAAATAAAAAAGCACTGAGCGTTATTCCATGTACAGAAATGCTAAAAAAAAAGTTAATGTTTCTGTTAAACCCGCTTTTACAGAATGTAAATACTTTTTGTGTTTGTGTTAAGTTTGCTACAATTTTAACACAAAGTATACTTCCAAGAAGTATGTAATTGTCAATATTTTGTCAATAAAGTTTTATCAATATGTCGCGCGCAGTAAAAGTATAGGCTTTTGATTACGGAAAGCAACCTTAAGGTTTTTTTTTTCTTTTTTCGGAAATGCGCAATCATTTAGCGCACAGCGAGGCGCGCTGATGTGGCGTTTATAGGATGATTTAAAAAACAAAGAGAGGAAAAATTCTGCAGCATGTAATTTGTTTTCCTCAGCCCTGCATTTGTTTCTCAGTCTGACATAGAAAGCATTTTTTTTCCTCCAGGAGCTGCAGCGTCTGCTCCGCTCCGGCTACAAAGAGTCCCTACAAGCTTTTGTGAAAGTGCAAATCAGTTTGGGCAATTATCATGCGAGTAATATGAGGGGGGAAAGGGGATGCATTGCCCAGTGGTCCACTTTAATCTCTTAATCCACGGATCCAAGGGGGGCTTGGTTGGACATAATTTAGTACAATCTGACTACCCCTCACGACGCGATAAGGGAAGGTTGCAATGTGCCGCAAAAAATGGGATCTTTGTTTAAAATCTTGTCTTTTAGGCTCCAATCGTGCTGCAAGCTGCTGCTTTGGACCGAGCGGAAACATTACAGGACTTCTTTTTTGGAGTCCGTGGGCGCATTAAAAAAGAGAAAGAGATGCAGGAAACGATTTCTCATTTAAACACAAACAAACCAAACAACAAAACCACGGAAGCAGAAAGAAATCTTAACAAATTGACACTAGATTATGATGGTTTTTGTTTGTTTCCTCGCGAACAGCACAGCAAACCTAACTTCGGTGTTTCTCGCGGAGGTGCACGTGTTTGTTTAATTGTTTCATAAAGTAAAAAGTGGTGTTTTTGTGGTTTGGGTTAGGAAGGAGGGGGGGCATGGCATATAGGGAATTCTTAATCGGCCCATAGATTATAACAGCAATAAAAATCTATAGAGAATACCATTAGCTTTGGAGAAAAAAACCCCTAAAAGCTTTATTACAAACCCAGCTTTGAAATAGGGGGGATTAGAGGACTGAAAGGGTCCCACAATAGTTAGAAGAAAAGGTTTCATGCTAATGAGGTTAATGCCCTTTGTATCTCCGGACTCCACAACTTCATTACTCCTATCTCGGGCAACACCGAGCGGCTCAGAGCTTCACAATCCACTCGAGCTTTTCCCTACCCTGCCTATAAAGAAGGATTTGATAGCAGTCCTGTTCAAACTAGATAATTATATCTTTTCAAGTTGGAATTAAGATAAAGAAAGTGCAGTGGAGGCGGTGAGCCTTGATCCGCCGCAAACAAATTTGGCGCACTCCCCCCCACCACACATACACCCCCTCCTCGTGTGTGTGTCTGCATGGACACACAGGAGACAGGACAGGCTTCTCATTAGAGCCTGGCACAATTTGATTAATTTAAATGCGTTTGATTTCAACCCCTCTCTCTTAAAAGAAGCTAGTGCATGGAAATAATTTTTGATCTTATTTTTGAAATTACGTTTTGTTTTTTTTTAAGCTACAATATCCAAAAATCTGCTTCACCAAATTAAAAGCTTCCAGTGGGTGTATTGTATTTTAATTTGTTAAATAAAATTAAAAGAGACTCTTTATTTTGAAAGTGCATATTACTACATAAAAAAATGAAAATGAAAATAATAAAAAGCTGTAGGCGGAGGTGGAGTGGGGGATTATTTTCTGTAAAGCAGTCTGGGTAAAGACATCTTCCTAACAAAAGCGCGCATGCCGCTTCCGTAATATTTAGGTTTTTACGTCTGAGAAATTCAAGGCGCTCTTCTTTTCAGATCCTGGCATTTGTTTGAGGACGATCAGGTGCAATTTGAAACTAAGGTCACATGAATATAATTACTTTGGACAGAACTCAAACAGCGTGCGCGCGTTATGAGTTGAAGTGGGCCCTCACGTATTAGATCCTTCTCCCAGACGCTCGTGCTGTGCGTTAAGGGCCAATTGTGGGGACCTTTGGTGACCCTCTTATCTAAACTGAAACTGCCCCTCTCGGTCCGGGGGCTAAACTCCCTCATAAATCATCACAAGTCCACGCGCAATTTGGTTCTTGCGTAAATTTTGGACAATTTGGAAACGAGCTCCCGCTGCATCAAACATTTAGCGCGCAACGTGAAACGATTATCCACCACTGAAAAGAGTAGTCGGTCCTATCAAGTGACCCCACTGACCCAAAACCTTTAATCTGCAATTAGTAGGTATAATTACGTCCGCTGACACCACTAATGTGAATAGTGGCCGAGGGAGGGAATAAGTGGAGGACAGGCTCGGTATTAGCGCGCAAAGTCAATAATTGATCGAGCTGGAATCTCTTAAGTCGGAAGAAGTGGCTTCTGAAAGGATGGATTTGGATAGTTTGTCAACACGTCGTCTGCCAGAGGAGTTTCATTTCGAAGAGCATCTCGTCGGGGGTAAAATGAATGTCTGTGAGGTGGCACCTGTAGGCCGACCCCGTTACAGACCCAACGTCAGGCCTAACTTGATCTGTCCTGTTTCACAAATTGCCTCTGAAATTGATCCTTGAAACGAGAGAATGAACCCCGCACAATTCCCCTGGCCTCGACATAAGGTGCAGCAATAAATATACAAGACTAATGAGCAATTACCATACGATCACTCTTCAAATAGCTTACATAATAACAAATTAAACATCCACGCCTCGGATTCAGTTTCTTTCTTTATTATTAATAACGAAGGAGTGGCGTTTGCAGCCACGATGTGCTCGGATGATTATGTTTTCCGAACCCAGCAATTTCCAATTTGCCATCGGGTACAGTCAGCGGTTATTGACTCGGACTAACTAGTCTACCGACTTTCAGGGGCATGAACACAGCTGGGCAGAAGTGGCGATATTTGTGAATAACGCGTCCTTTATCCTTAAGTTATTTCCAGCTCAGATTTTGAACGAGGTGAGGCGTTTAAGAGCAGGATTAAACACGCAGACACTCACGAAGCGCTCCTAAAGGCATCACAGCGGCCTGCTGCGTTTCCTGACATGACAATGAACTTGTTAGCGTTTGAGATCCTATACTGGAAAAAAAAATCAACATATTGTTTAAAAAAAAAAGGAAAATACCAAAGCTGTAAGATATAAATATGCTGACTGTTCTTTAAAAAGAAAAGAAAAAAAAACAAAAAGACACTTGAGTTAATGTATTCAAGGCAGGTCGACATCGTATACACACACACACACACACACACACACACACACTAAGAGCCTGGCACCAAAATGTGATTGTTAATAGATGAACAAAGCCAAGTGGCACATTACAAGCTGCTCTGACAGGCCCATGCAGAGTTTCACTCACTGGGTTTTGGTGCTCCATTGCCCATGTTCACCAAGGTCACCACACACACGCGCTCGTCACATGACCTACATGTGACAAATGGTTATTTCACTATGAAATATTCATTGCATTTCAGAAACAGTAAACTTTATTTTTTTCCACCTGCACAATGGCCGCCCTCCCCGTCTGTCAGGCCTCAGTCCCATCATGCCTTGCGCCCTGCATTTGCAGACACCACCAGCATATCTGTGTGCTCCCCTCAGTAACCACACTGCACAGGCACAGCTCAGTTTGGAAGGCCTCAGAAACTTTATTAGCTGTTTTTTCCCCCGTCTTCCTTAAACTCTTCTTATTATAATTGGCTGCAGCAGTAAACACCTATTTTTCCATGCATTAATATTCTTATGGCAAACTGCAATGCCAGAGATTCCTAATGCTTATTTTCTCTAACGATATAGGGGCAATTTGGGCTGTAATTTGAGGCCGTTTCATTTGCATATAAGTGTTTCCCACATATCCACCACCAGCTCTGAAGAGAGCGATTGTCGACCCCTTGTCCTCTGAAGTTCCAACCTCCAAACATTTTATAGGTTGTATCTGCAAGCAGCATTCCCTTCAGCTCGCTAATGTGTAACACATGGCGGACTGTACACCTGATAAAATACCTCAGGGGCGCTGCAGTTTGGAAAATCCTCAATTCGCTCTCTAAATAAAACAAACAATGGCCTCACTAAATATATCACATGTGCCTGCTGAACTATTTTGTGTCTCTTGACCTGCAAGTCCCCTCCCACATCATCAGCACTGACACAGCTCTGTCTGTTTGCAGGATGCAGCTTGCAGGTACTTTTGAAAATACTGCCTGATTTTATGACCTCCTGCTTTTAGAATAAACAGGCTGTAGTGCTACGGCTTGCTGAAGCTCCATTGCTCTTGTGTGTGTGTGTGTGTGTCTATGTAAGCTGCTGGTTCTCCTGTCCGTGTTTTATGTCG